TTTTTTAACACACAATTCAACAGAAAAACCCAGATGTCTTATATATTGCTCACTAGTCATGCATCTAGTTGATTGACAACATGCAACAAAGTGCTATGGAGTGAAGGTTGATATGTTTTGCACATCTCTAGGTTACTCAGAGCAGTTAAGTGTTATGTGGCCAAAAAGCATAACATAAGGAAAAAGTACAATGAAAGAAGGAAAAAACCTAAAATTTGTCCTTAAGCAATAATACTTGGATTTGGGGTTCTCTCCAGCACAAATTAGCATCTATGGCATCTGGCTGATGGACCAGATGCTGTAGGAATTTGGAGGTATTTGGAAGTGTCCAGTTAATGGCAGCCAATGGCTTTTAAGGGAAAAGCAGAGACAGAGACCTGTGAGGAAGACCACACTTTCACCAAGATTCACCACAGAGTGTGATGGGCTGGTGGGACCTAAGCCATTGCTCGCAGTGGATGGAGATAGCATTTTTCTCTGTAGGACTCAAGGGGAAAAGAAGTAACTTCTATAAATATTTTCATTTATGTAAAGAAAAGCAGTTTGGCAACCGCCATGCATGCAACTAATGTGGTTGAATCAATCCTTGCATTAAGTGAAAGGACTTAAGATGAAGGAGGGTAGATTTAGATTAAAGGAAGGATTTATTTACTGTGAGGGTGCTGAGGTGCTGGCACAGGTTGCCCAGAAGAAGCTGTGGCTGCCCCATTCCTGGCAGTGTTCAAAGCCAGGTTGGACGGGACTTGGAGCAACCTGCTCTGGTGTGAGGTGTCACCACCCGTGGCAGGGGGACCTGGAACTGGATGAGCTTTAAGGTCCCTCCCAACTCAAACAATTCTATGATATTCTACCTCCTACGTTGGATGAACTCCTTTAAACAGGCAATCCACCACCGAAACCACCCTGCCATTTCAAGAAATTCTATTTTTTCCTTCAGCTATATGCTAGCTTGGCAGACTAATTCTGGTGTGTGGCAAACCAAAAGAGTCCAAAATGTCACTCAACATTTTGTTCCATGAGAAAAATTAAGCAAGACAGGCAGATTAAAATTAAGGAAGTGCATGGAGATTACAATCCAGATTATTCTTTCCAGCTCATAATTCTCTTAAAACCCTTTGGTGAATTTTGTGTCTTCAGGACATCTCAGGCTTGGTGAACTATTACTTTGCAATACTGCATCGTTGTGCATGGACTTTCAAAACCTATGTGCATACAAGCAGCAGTGTTATTGGAGTCTTTGTTCATATAGTGTTATTTTAAATTCAGACATCAGTATTTACAGCAGATTAACAAAGAGGTGCAACAAGAGACCTGAATGATCTAGAGTAAGTCAGAAACATCAAAGCACAGACAATTTATAGAAGGATCAGAGAAACACAGAGCCCAGTGTATTATAACCAACACGGTTAAAGCAATGACATTTAGCAACCAGCAGCTTCTCAGTGACACTTTTTATTTTGCCTGCTAGATAGAGGACGCACACAAAGTCTCATTTCAGGTCTATCTTTCCTTCACTTTTGGATTTGCCGATTCATTTGATCAGTCAGTCATTGTGACACTAAGTGGCCCTATTGTGGAAATTCTCCAGCAGAATGCAGTTTGTTTTGAACTGGAAAGCGAGATGCTACCACCATAAGAATACATGGTGACCTATAAATGTTATGGATAACATTTTAACTGAAGGAATTTTTAAGTTCCCAAATGGCTGATGAGGGAACCAACATTCCCTTTCCCTTTTCAGCTCCTGCAGTTGTAGTTTTGCTATTTCAGAGCTGTTCACATTCCACATATGGAATATTTTCTGGAACATGCAAGACCCAGCTGAGGTCCTTGGCAAAGCTGGTTGGAAGCCATAAGCACCTAACTATTAGCCCAGCTAACCTCTTGTGTATACACAGCTCTTCATTTTAACAAATATTCTGACAAATACTTCCGCTGTAGGAGATGCATTTTCAACAGTCTGTTCCAAGAAACATTTATGCGCACACATATATGTATATATTTATATAATAGAACAGCTCCAAAGATTAAATAGAGATAAACCTCACCATAGTCAGCAGTAGTTATAGCACCACCAGCAAGAGCCGGCCGTGTCTTTTCCTCATTTAATCCATGAAAAAAGCAATGAGAAAGAATTAAGCACAAGGTCAATAAGAAACAAAGATAGCAGATGAAGAAATAACCCCGTTGGAGCTAGACAGAACCTTAAGACAATGGGCAGCCAAAGTCTGTCTGCTGGGGTAAAAGGGAGGATTGGGATAAAGGGAAGGAGGGAATCTCCTTCCACTTGTAATCTGAGCCTCTGTCTCCATGGGAATGGGCTGTTTAGCAGTTTGTCGGTACTAACAGCCCAGCTGCTTTTTCTTCTGGCTGATACATTAACAATGGGGAGTTAAGGGTTTTGAAAAGTGCCTAAATAATTTAGCTGAAAAAATTAAATGGAATTAAAAGACATCACTTGGCACTTAAAATCATTCAGTAATTAAGTCATCACTCAGGCATTTTCAAAATTCCCTTCTTAAAAAAAATTAATCTTCAGAGCAAGTTTTAGAATCTTATTTTATTTTTTTTTAATAAATCTTGTCCAAAATAGAGCTTTCAGAAATAGATGACTTTCCCATTATGTTTTAATCAACACCCATTTGAAATGAGTGTTTCACACCCTCACATTCTACATGCAACATGAATCTCAGGAGGAAAAAAAAAAGGCACAGAATGCTCTGAAATTATGTAACTTTGAACACACAGACCATATTTTAAAAAAGTCTCTTAATTCCCTCCGTGCTGACCTGTTTGTTACAGCGGTCAAGGGTTGCTTCACGGGCTCCACTTATACACACAGCCTATGACGGGAAGTGGGAGAGGGAAGAAAAGCGGTGGATAACCACAGGAGTATGAGCCCTAGTTGCAGTTTAGGCAGCCCAAAGCTGGGTGTGCTGAGGCATGTTGTGCAAGGCAACAGTGGAGGGAACCAATCAAAGCAGATGTAACAATGTCAGAGAAAGAGTTTTATAACAAGTTGAATTAAGAGGGGAGGATAAAGCTGGATTTTTTTCCAGTTTTTCATTAATCAAACTGCCTGCAGGAATGATGATGAAATAGATGTCCAATGATACTTATGATACCTTACTCAAAGAGAAGCTCCAGTCTTTGCCTTTCTTTCCTGCACAGTGTAATAGATGCCCAGATAATAGATTATTTCCCCCACTTTTAATCTTGTTTCTTACATCATCTAGTAACTCCTGAATTATTCAAGGACCTGGCTGGTAATTTCGATGTGGAATATTTTCAAGTGTTTTATTGATAATTTTGCCCTATGACTAGTCTTTACGAGAGGGGATCTTCTATGTATTTGGGTTAATATGTTTCTCTGTTTGGCGTGAAATGGTGCTTTCTTGTTTATCTTTAGGAAGAGAAACTAGAATTATCTTTACTGTCTTACTGCACATTGTTGACCAAGTGTTCCTAACCAGTGACGACACTAGAACATGTAAACTTGTCTTATTTGGAAGAAAACCCTCTTCCTACCTACATACAAACTTGGAGAGGAAAGGGGTAAAAAAACTCCATCCTGGTGAAAATCTGGCAATGCGTTTAATAAACTCAAATTCATTTAATTAGATTTCTTAATTGAAATCAACCTTGAGAAACTGAAGACTAATAGGTCTGCACATGTTACTAGGCAGTGCAATATTTAAATGGTTTGCAAGAGACAGCAGTACTACAAAACCCAAGACTCAGTCACTCAGCCCGCCTCCAAGGCAGGCTCTAGGCTCCTCTAAGCAGTTAGCAGTTGCTCTCTTCCTTTTTTGTTTGTTTTAACACATTCTTAAGAAGAGACTAAAAAGAGAGATGTTAAGTGTCTGTAACTACTATTGTGTGTGTTTTGATCCTTGCCAAGAGACTCATAAGGTGATTACAGTTGAACAGAATCAGGTCAATATGATATTATAAAAATTTAGAAGAATGTAGCAGCAGCCCCTTCTCTCCATATTTGCCCCCTCCTCCCACTCCCCGAACAGCATGCTACTAATTGCGCTTTCCACTCACCTGATTTTACTTTAAGGCTCTTCAAGAAGATTGTCATTTATAGCCTGCAATTCAAGCCTGTTATTCCTTTTGCAAAAGAATCAGCTATATTGAACTGGAAATCTCACCCTCTAACTGTTTATTAATATTAAAGGAATTCTCAGATTTTTGTTGCTAACTGCTCACTTGGGTTGAAATGTGATGCACTTGTTGGCAGTGTTGCCCCAGAGGGACTGCAGCGAGACAGACTTACTCAAGCTTCACTTGAACACAGAAATGAAAATCAATAAACAATTTGAACTTCTCAGAAGAGAATTTTTCTCCTCTAATGAATATACAAGCTTGGTTACAGCTTAATTTAAAGATTGAATTTAGTGTGTGTTTTTTTCCCCTGCACCAGGAGCATGACAAACACAAGCTTCAAGTGACATATCCCAAAGGGAGACTTATTGTTAGAAAAAGAAAAAAGGAAAAAAAAAAAAGAAGGCACAAGCAAATGAACAACAAAATAATTCCTGATCCCATGACAAGGGAGCTACCTTAAAAATAAACTAATGTGCAGCTGCAGAACAGATCTGCTTTGCAGGCTGCGCAGGCACCTAAACTTTAAGTGTCTGGTGGGGTGAATTTTGTAATGTATGTATTTTTATTTGCTTTTATAAGAGACTGAAAATAGGGTCAGACCACAATGTAGGGATGTGGTGATGAATTCTCTAGTAGTTTGAGGATTTCTGAATACAGGATAAATACATGTATACTGTGGGTTAGTTTCTCTCACACACACACAAAATCATATTTACTTATAATTTTTACTTGCAACACTGTATAGCATTAGAATGTTATTTCTGTAGCAATTAATGACATTCATTAAAGAAAATGTCTGTAGAATCAATGTTTCCAAAATAAAGACATACTTGCACTCAATATTAACTGTAGCACCGTAATGAGCTGCTGTGTTTTCTGATTTTCAGGATTTCTGTGGAGTTATCAAGCTAAACTGCTTTTGCCATCTGATAGTTCATCCTGGCAACACTGTTAGTTGAAAGCCACAGAAGTCGTTGTGTACAGCATTTTAGTCTTCAGCTCATTAAGATACAGATTTGAATTGGAAACTTTGATCTCATTTGTGCAAACTGGAAACCAGTTAAATCAGAATTCATATGAGTGTGCATCAAGTAAGTAACACAATGAGAGATCTATGTCAAAACCAGTCCTAAAAATATAATGTTATTCTGGAAAAAAAAAGTGAAAAGAGTGGGAACGTAGATGTGCTGAAATACCTGAAGGTGTAGATTTTAAACAGTTGGTTGCAGTTTCTATCCTAATAAGCCTCCAAACAATACATCTAAGTTATTCTTATAGATAATAGGCAGCTTGACTTTTCAAACCAAACCAGTTAAAGCCACATTTTTGTTGCAATAAAGAGACTCTTCAATTTCTTTAGCCCCTGAACTCTTTTTTTCATATTTGTAATCTTAACACCTCACTCAAAGGGATCTCTAAAGCTTTTCATTTAAACTACAATTATTCTTTTGTCTACTGGGAACCTAGTGCAAAGATGATGTCCTGTGTGCAAGAAGCAAGCAAGCTGAATATTAATTAATGAAACTACTTAATATGCAGAAGAAGAGGAGCAACAATCAGTCACGAGCCCTTACGTATTAACTGGTAGATCATTGTTATTCTGGGAGGCATCATAAGGCCAAATGCAGGTTACAACTAGTTTAGAAAATGTCTTTAATTAAGAAACATGAAAGTTTAAGTCTCTCATTATAACTATCTTATTGTGACCATAAAAGACATCATTAAATGACATGATTGTATAGCACTTTTAATGTGGTCTGAGGTGATGAATTAGACTTCAGCTATTAATCTGTTTGCAGTGGGATTCAGTAAACAAGCAAAACACTGAGTATTTCCTACTTTTGCCAAGATGCAAAGAAACAAGTTTTCCTTTTCTTAAGGACCAGGGAAGGCCATGAACAAGCAAAGCTCCATAAAACACCTCTGTCCACATAGGTGGGTCGGGAGTTTCACAGAAACAGGAGAGTCAGATCCACTCTCCTCTTTGTCGCTTGCCATGACTATTGGCAGCCTTGTAATAGGAAAATAGAAATTATGTCGTCCCATACTTTTTGCTTTGCTAAATTAACTAAATTAACTGAAGCTAAAAGATATGAGATTTGCACCAGCAAGTCCCTGTGCACAATGTTAAAGGAGACTGGCCTCCTTGTTCTCATTTATCAGGTGGAAAGCAGATCTGTGAAAAGATGTGGTGTGGTTACCCATGAAGCCAATATCAGATGAACATATGTATGGCTTTCCAGATATGGCTTCTATATTGCTTTCCCTTTTAAGGAATATTAATAGTAGTGAAATCTGGGAATACTAAAAGCACAATAAGAATACATCTTTATAAGATTCCTACTTCAGATCTTTCATATCCAATGACAGGAGTGTCAGAGGATCTGCAGGTTTTGTTACTGCATGGAACCACGCAACAAGTAAAACTAAAACCACCTAGTGCATTGTAACAAAAAGAATGTAATCCATTTGCAAATCTACTTCTTCACAATATGCTTGACTCTGTGGAAGAGAGTAGCTACAGGAAGAATCAAATTCAGTTCTCAGCTATTAGCAAGGTCAACAACCAATTGCAACACTTCTTTTGGCGAAGGATGCAGCAGTGCACACTGATTCAACTTTTTATCCTGTATAATATGAGACTGACCTGCATTTGCTGTATGCACAATATTTTCCTGATACATTACACAAAAACACATTTCTGCTTGCTGAGAGTAAAAAGCTTCTCTGCCAAACATACAGTATCTCTATCAAGCAGCATTTAAATAGCTTTTACAGGAATAGTTTGGGCAGGCAGTAAGATGTAGCAATATCAGAAGAGGATTTACTGATAAAGTTTTTGTTTTACATTAAGCTACAAAACATGATTTTACACGCTATATATGGTAAAAATCTGTATTGTTTTAGACAGTCTGAATAGTTCAGCAACTTGAATTGAGAAATATGACCATTGATTTGGAAGAAGTATACATTCTCATTTTGCTAATATCCCTTCACTAGTCTGAAAATGCAGTAATTCTTGTGGAATACTTACCTCTGTAAGCATACACAGAGCAGAGCAATGACATGAAATCTGACTCAATTAAGGATTTTACAGAGTTATTGTTTCTTATCACTACCTGGTGTTATTTACAAAGCATTCAGCATTCCTGGAGATCTTCAGGGCATGATCTGGCCTTGAAGAAGCTGAGTCAGCCCCTTTTTCTGCTTGTTCCTTTGTTTGTTTAACTACCCATCTAAATACAATTAGTCCAGTGCAATTATACCACTTGCTAGACTGGAAGCCAAAAGACACAAAGGGCAATACTGGCTAAGAGTAGGAGAAAGAATTGATGCTTAAAATGTATGGAAAACAAAGGAGCCAGTATTTCCAAGAGTATCCTATAGGGACCCAAACACTTCCGCATCAAGTCAACTCCTGTGAACATAAAGGGAGCTGAAGTTGGCCAGAGCACTCTAAAGGTACCCACTGGTGATGTTAAAAATCACCAGGTGGCACTATTACACAACTGGCACCTGCACAGTTTTCTGTTGGGTGGGTGAAACCTTCGGGAGGAAATGCTGGCCATGAGAAGGGTTCTGTTTGCTGCTGTCCCTAACTGGAGCTGGCTCCCATGGCAGGACTGCTCTTGGCTGGAGGCACTGAGGATGCTTGGTGTTGGTTCAGACCGTTCCTGGATGGTCCATGCTGACTCAGGGTATATTCCAGCCACCTCATGCAGGTCCCAGATCTGTTAAGCTATGGATTGGTAAAAGGATAAACCTAAACTCAGGAAGGAATATATTTTACTATGAAAAAAATGAAGTTAAAAACCTGGACACAACAGGAAATGTTGTTAAAAACACAAAACAAAACACAACCAAACAAGAAAACTCCCTTGGGTGAAGGGATGTGGTGACATTCAGGGTACAGCAGCCAAAAGTCATTCTCAGGATTAGACTTTGTCAAAGCAGTGCATGAACAAGAATGGGAAAGGAACAGAAATGTGAAGATGCTTCAATCATTCATTGTAGTTTACGTCTAATTCCCTCCAGGTCCCCTCCTCACTTCACAAGCCAGCAGCATTTAGAGAATCCTCTCATTTTTGAAGCTACTTAGGAAGTTCTGCTGCATTTGCTCATATTGAAACAAGGAAAAAAACAAACTGAAACAAATCCTCCCCCCCAAACAAACCAACCCCAAAAAGAAAGAAACCCAAGCCTTTCAGTGTTTTAAGTCATTGTTGGGTTGTTTGTTTTCAAGCCATATTACTCCTGCATGGGTGGATAATGATCTTTAAGAATTATTTAAAATCCCACTCTTTCTATCTACAATGATTTTACATGGAAAAAAAAACCCCTGTAAGTATGGTTAGGAAACTAGTTGAGACAAGTGCCAAGTAAAAAATTAAATGTCCTTTTCTTAAATTAATTTGATAACAATCTTCTGATTTTCTTATTGTCTTTTTCAGAGAGAGTTTTTCATGCTACCTGCCATCCAGATTTGGTTTTGGTTTTGCAAGAAAAATAGCAGGCCACAAGCAAGTCAGTCATTTTTGTCCAGAGATCAGAGAGCTTTTCTAAAGATCTGGCAACCCAAAATCTACCCCAATTTGGTCTTATCATTGTTCTCCTCCTAAACTCAGTATCATACTTAAATCCTGTACACTCAGATGTTTGCAGACACTGCAGGTTTTCAGGATGCAGCATATGTTTAACCTAAAATAGCTTCTCTGAACTTTAAGGAAAGGCAACACAAGCCATGGGCGATACCAATCACATTAGATAGCCCCTTCCCAATGGGAAAACCTCTCCCTTTCTAGCTTTCCAAATTAATTAATGTCTGAATGGTCTAAATGATGTCAGTAGCAGAAGAACAAAGGTAGCTTGTTTACTCTGAGACACCATCTCAAGTCCAGCATGAGGTAAGGCTGTGCATCGCAAAGAGCATGTCACCTCCCTCACTCAGAGTGATATGGCTGTGATTGAACAGATTTCACCATTAACTAATTTCTTATGGTTAGAAAAAGGCTCCCAAATCCAACAGAACACAATGAGGAGTCACTGCAGGTCTGCATAATGAGAATATATAATGCCTTGAGTTATAATTACCTGAAAAAACACTATATAGACCTTATCACTCCTGAAAGCCAAATATGTGATTTTTTTAAGTACTAATTTATAACACTGAAAGGATTTTTAAAATAAGTCAAGAAGTTCCTTACTATATAGCCTTGGATCCACCATTTCCAGTAACACTTAATGTTTACCTGCTTTTTCTGTATTTCCCTTGTCCCCCTTTAAGGGCTTGAACTGAAGGGTGTATATCAGCATTTGATTAAAAGATCATTGCCAAGAACTGCAATTTAGTCACTTTGTGAAACAATCATAGGTAGCCCACAACCTAGATGTTGCAGGCAGCAGTGTAGCCTCAGGTTCACTGTTCTAATAGAAAGAGTTATATTCTATTTACTAGACAGCCTTAATTTGCCATCTGGATTAATTCATTAGTTAAATCAGTGCTTAGCACCATTTGTTACCTCTAAATAACATCACTGAAATTTAAATGAAAAGAACGCATAAACAGATAAGAAAAGGAGGAAATAAGAGTCCCATGGAAGAGGGAATGTATACTTTGCTACCTGATAAAGGGGAGCTAAAAACCCTCATCTGTTTCTCAGCAGCTAATATCTCCATCCATGTTATGTTTTTTCAGTTACATTTGTCATATCTGCCTTTACCTTACTTTAGCTCTCTTCACCTTTCAAAGCATTCTTGAGGACCAGAATTTCGACTACAAATAAGAAAACAAGAATTAAAAAAGGAAATAAAGAAAAGGGCAGTGTTTTTAATGTATATATTCCTAAATTGTGTGTGCAAAATTTAAGACACCATGAAAGAATCTTTTATTTCAAGAAAGATCTTTTTAAATTAATTTTCTATAAAATCTTATGTGCCCGTATCCCATATTTAGCTAGCAAGTAACCACTGAAATCCCTGCACATTTATGTCTGTTATTACAGAAAAGACACAGAATGCATAGAGAAAATTTCTGAGATAGATACATTTAGATTTTTCTTTTCCAATAGAAAAGCACCACAAAGGGAATAAA